CGTTCTTTTCTAGACATTTACTTTCTATTAAGCCCTTGGGATCAGCTCCTCTTTTATTTTTACTGCTGCCCCTCCCTCATGTCCCCTTGATAGAGTGTAGGTTGTTATTATTTTCGTATCTCCCGCTGACCCTGTTTCCCTGCCCCTCTGGTTCCCCCTGGATGGGGGGGTGGGTGGTAATGTGCATTCACTGTGATCAGTACAGTTTTCCTTCCCATCTCTCACCACCTTCCCCTACCCTTTTGGTGTCGCTATTCCCATTCCCATTCCTGGGTTCTGTGTATCGTGAGCTTTCTCTCTTGCCTGTACCTATCCACTTGCTCCCGCCCAGTTCAGAGTGGGAAGCAGCACTGGGGTCATGATAGTGGGGGGTGAAGAGTCCTCAAGGGATCAGAGGTATTGGTGCTCCACTTCACCCTGATTGACTCATACCCTCCCTGTGATCCCTCTGTGGGGGGATGTTCCATTGTCCACAGATGGGCTTTGGGTCTCCACTCCAGTCCCCCTAATTCTCACCAACACGTTTTTGTTTGTTTGTTGTTTGTTATGAATCTTCTGATTCCCGTTGCCTGGATGCACCTATGACATTCTTTATGTCATCCATTCAATAGCACATGGGGTCTTCAATGTGTTCAATATAACAAATGTTTCCTTGCGATGTTCTCAAAATTCAGGTGCGATGGACTCATGGTAGTGTTTTTGCTCTCATAGCCTTGTTTTATGTTTCTTCAGCTTCAACATGAACTTACATATGAGCAATTGATGGTCAGTTCCACAGTCAGCTCCTGGCCTCATTTCAGCTGTCATGCAAACTCCATCTCTGCTTTATCTCCAAGGTCATATTTTCCTACTACTGTTCCTCTTTGTTTCCAATTTTTACATTCCAATTGTGGATAATTATCAATGCATCATGATTGTATTTTTGGTCAATTTCAGACTGAAGAAATATGTAATCTCCATTGATTCCTTCATCACTAGCTTGAGTGGTTGGTTTATAAATTTAAAATGGTTGTATTGACAGATTTTCCTTGTATGGGTATGATATCCTATCTCAGTGTTGTACTACAAGATTAATAATGAACTTTTTTTTGATGATCATTGTCATGCCATTCCACTCTAAATCGGTCATTCCTCCCTAGTAAACCATATGACTATCTGATTAAAATTGGCCAATAGCAGTCCTTTTCAGCTTACTTATGCCTACAGCCTATTATTGCAGCCACTGGATCAATCCGTTTTGTTGAGGGTCTTCACCTTTTTCACTGCTCCTCTACTCTACAAGGCATGATGCCCATCTCCAGGGACTATCTCTCCTGACAGCATGTCCAACGTATGTAAGATGAAGTCTTTCCATCCTTTCCTCTAAGGAGCATTCTGGCTGTACTTTTTCCAATACCGATTTGTTTGTTCTTTTGGAAATGCATAGTGTTTTTAATATTCTTTCCCAGAACCACCATTCAAATGCAACAATTCTTCTTTGGCCTTCTTTATTCAGTTTCTCACGTTCACCAGCATATGAAGAAATTTAAAATACTGTGGCTTTGGTTAGCAGGGGCACCTTAGTCCTCATAGCAGCGTCTGTGCTTTTCAAGACTCTAAAGAAGTCTTGTGCAGCAGATTTACCTAATGAATTTTCATCTTTTGATCTCTTGATTGCTGCTTTCATACGCATTGATTGTGGATCCAAGCAAGACAAAATCCTTGATCACATCTGGAACTTGACTGGGACTCTGTGTCTGCCTCCAGAAGTGGCCCATGTGGGCCGCTGACGTGAAGGGTTGTCATCTCCCTGCCATGTTTCCACTTAACTTGGATCTGCTGGATTCCCGACCCACTGGGCTGTGATCTCTCTGATTCCGGCTTCACATTTCTGTGTCAAATGCCTGCAGGGACATGATTTGGAAGAGAGCCTCAGCTAGCATGGTCTTGAGTTGGCCTGGGCTGGAATGCCTTCTTGGTATAAAATTACTTCTTGATAAAATGTTTCTTCTTATACATATGTGAACGTCACTGGTTTTGTTTCCTTAGACAATCCAACCTAAGACTGACTGTCACTTCCCAACTTTAAAGCCTACAACATAGCTAGGGTCATCAAATCAAAACAGCCTCAAACTGGTACAATGAGACATACACAACCCAATGGAAGCCAATAGAGAG